TACAGAAACCAATTGGTTTACCGATCAAATCGGATTGTGCAAAGTTGCCGTAGTCAGTTACTAGTTAAAATGTAGCTTTGTGACGTTAGCTATAGGTTGGTTATTAGGACAGAGAAGCTCTTACAAAGTTAAATCATACTGAATATTGTAGCCACTTGGCTAGAGATATATAGGCAACTTGGTAAGCAGTAAGACACCAGGCAGGTGTTAAAGGCTAAATCAAGAGGCACCAGGCAGGTAGATGTTGACTTATATTGTCAGTTGTATAGTGAGGCAATTATCATTTGGCACCAGGCAGGTGCCGGTATTACTGAAGATATATAATTATACAAAGCACTTAGGTCATTTGATTTAAAGACACCATACAGGTGTCATATTATTATCTGTATATATTGCATTCAATCATATCCCCAGTAAAACTCCGTAATCCGAGCACGGACCTACTGACCGCTCAGGTCCGACACGTTACAGTAGTACGTTGCAATTGAGTGTCAATCTTAAAACTTAATTTCCGTTTCACTGCTTTAGTGTAACTGGGCTAGATACGATATGTAATGTGTATTATACTATACTATAATGTGTTGCATATACTTTCTTAACGTCGAAATAAAATAAAGGCGCTAAGAATGTTTTATTTTTAAAATTTAATTGAAGCTATCATACCTATTTAATAGATCAGTCCAAAAAAAGGCGCGAATATTTACTCGTGGCGTTTGGCGCGAAATTATGAATGTTTTTAATAATTTTTAGACAGGTGAACTGTTGCAAAAGTACCGGTATACACAAGTATATTTAGAGCAGTACTCCCAATAGCTTAATGGTTAGCACGTTGAAATATATAAAAGTATAAAAAAAAAAAAAAAGCGCATTCACGTTGGCGACATGGGTTCAATCCTCCTTGTGACCAAAATTTTGAATCTCTTTTCAGCTCGATTTTACGTGGGTTTCTTTTCCTAAAACGGACGGAAGACCTCTCGTTGCTCGCAACGAGATCGTATCTAGTTATTATTATTATTATTATTATTTTGACCATCTAATTTTGTGCACGCGATTTCTCAAAGACTCCTGGGTGGATTTTCACGAAATTCTCAGAAACAATGTGTTGTAATCTGAAGTTATTTTATCCGAGAGATTTTTTGGAAATTCGCTTCCGGTGCCAAGTTACAGACCTTTTCCTGAATTTAAAATGACATTTTGTCCGCGGTTAATCTCAAGAACGGTAAAAGATATTAATGTGAAACTTTCAGGGATTATAGATCGTAATATTTTCTATCCAGGACGTGACCTTTCGTTCGTCGTCAGTACTTCCTGTTGTTTCCAGATGAAAATATAAAAAGTCGAATTTTCTAATTTTTTTATTTTTCAATATTTTTGAATTATTTCAATATTTTTAATAGAAATCCTTTTAATTAGGCTTAATATATAATTTGCTTATAAATTGATAAATCCAAACTCTAGATATTAACATTTGAAAATTCGAAACGTATCCAAAATGGCGTCTGTCTTTGTCAACTCCGACATTTAGCGCGTAGGGGGTTATGGAGTCAGCTGAGCGTTTGGTTGAACGAAACCAACATAAGGATAAATGAAATGTAAAAGCGTACTTTGATTTTCACGTCAGAGTTACATTGCAATTCTGTTTTAATTAAAGTTTTAATTCGAGGTCTTCTCAAATTGGTTTTATCTGGTTCTCAAATTAGAAAAAGTCGAGACTACATGTACAAATGAAATACTATATCTACAACCTTTTGTTTTGCATCATGGAACAACAGAAATTGAATCACGATTAATATACATGTAAGCATAAGTTTATCAAGAAACAATATATTCAGTGAGTATAAAACGCGGCCACTGTTTTCCCATGCAAACTAATAGAAAAGAATAAAATAAGTAAACCATTTTTCAAAAGATCGTTTAATGAAGTTTATGTAGACCTTTGTTTTCTAATAGATCTAATTCAAGTTATTGAACATAAATGGTATCTTAATACTTGATCGTCTTTGGTTGAGGCACGTTTTTCAGTTTCAGTTTTTTAATGAATGTGTAACTAATTGGGAAATTGAAATATGTTAAAGAATCATAGCCATATTACACTGCTTTCGTATTAATTGCGTATAAACGATGTTTTATGTCTCGTACATTGAACATATTAAATTACTTTTAAAACTCACAATTTAAGCCATAAGAACGTCCTTAATTTCATTGAAGGTATCACACCTTTTTAATAGAACTTTTCAAAGAAAAGGCGCGAAATTATGAATAGTGACCAACCTTTCACAATTTCAAGACAGATATATTGTTGTAAAAATATTTACAAATAAATTTAGAAGAGTGGTCCCAATATAGTAAAGGTAAGCGCGTTGGAAATACTTACTGGTAACCCTGGTTCAATCACCCATCTGTACGAATTTTTCAAACTAGTTTTTCAGCTCGATTTTAGATGGTTCTTTTTTCAGAATCGGACGGAAGGCCTCTCGTTGCTTGCAACGAGATCTTTTCTAGTTTTTTTAAATTTTCCTTCCGGTCTTGAAATATCACGTTATTGCTAAAATTTTTGTCCGGCCTACTCAGAAAGCACTACACAAAATAGAGATTTGAAATTTACAAGAATGATTGAATGTGAACCATTCATTTGTAGCTGACTTTTGAAATAATAAGAATTCGTTTAAATTTTTCAAATTTTAAAATTAAATTTTTCCCAAAAAAAAATCATGCAATTTTGTTTTTCTTTCTTATGTCATCAGATAGATCTTGGCAAGCACTTTCCAAAAATGTATTTCTTTTGTTTGTGAGTACAATAATAAGCAATATATAAGCTCAGGTGTGTTAGGACACTTGCGTGCAAATGTACTGTTAGAATTTTTTAAAAAAAAATCATATCTTTTATTTATTGACCGATATCAATTTTTTTTCACCATCAAATAGATTTTTTCAAAACCTTTCCAACGGTATATTACATTTTATTCTGCGTGTAATAATAAAGAAATACGAGCTCAGGTAAGTTAGCCTTTCGTTTTGACAGGATATGTCAAATTCATTATCAAGGACCCTTGCGGTTGGCGGTACCCTTTAGATCTCTTTGATCTTTGGTGGATATCCTTTGATATCTGTAAAACGTCTTAACTCTTTTATTTCTTTACCGATTTTAAAACTTTTTAAATCATCAAATAGATCTTTTTGAGAGCTTTCCAACGGTATATTTCTTTGGAATGTAAATGCACTAATAAAGAAACTATTAACTCAGGTATATTCGCATTTTGTTTTGACGGAACATGTCAAACTCATTATCAACGACGCTTGCGGTTACTACCGGTGGCTGTACTCTTCGATCTGAAAAAAATATTACACAGCGTAATTGGAAATTCTCAAAGGTCAAATAAAGTGATATTTAGACATTTTCAATTTTTCAAAAAAAAAAAAAAAACCATTTAATTGCTTCCAAACGTAAAACAAGGACTATTTATGTATTTTGAAAGTTTGAAAACATTAGATCATTTGTTTTGAAATCTTACAAAGGTCAAGTAGTGTGAAATTTAATTGATTTAATTTTTTTTAAATTAAATGATTCCTTATTGTTAAATATAGACTTCATCTGTATTTTAAAAGATCGAGAAGAGCATATATATATATATGTGTTTTGAAATCTCTCAAAGGTCAAATAGAGTAAAATTTAATCGATTCTGATTTTTCAAAAAATTTAAATTGCTTCCATATTTCAAAAGAATGACCGATCTGCTATTTGGAATGCTCGCGGACATCAAATGCTGTGTTTTGAAGTTAATTAAATGTCATATAAAGCAAGATTTAAACGATTTAATTTTTTCAAAAAATTTAAATTGCTTCCAAAGATAAAATCAAGTGTCATATCTGTATTTTGACATATGGAGAACATCATACAATGTGTTTTGAAATATCTCAAATATCAAATAGAAATTTTAATTTCTGCCAAATGTAAATGGAGGTGGAGAATATCATACAATGTGTTTTGAAAACTTTCAAGGGTCAAATAGAGGAAAATTTAAACAATTTAAATTTTTCAAAAAATTAAAATGGCTTCCAAATGTAGAATCGAGTACCATATCTGTATTTTGACATATGGAGAACATCATAGAATGTGTTTTGAAATATCTCAAAGGTCAAATAGAGGGAGATTTCAACGATTTAAATTTTTCCAAAAATTTAAATTTCTCGCAAATGTAATAAACAACTTTCAGTGAAGAAAAATAATGTCAGCTCACTCTTTGATCTAAAAAATAAAACATGTCCTTTAATCCACAGACAGAGTTCTATCATTTCAATTATACCTTTTTTACCTTAAAATTCAAGAACATTGCAATTTCAAAAAGCCAGTTCTCCAAGACCTGGACTTTTAGGAGAAAAATTTTAATTGGAAATGAACGCTATTTTATTTTTTTTTTTTTTTTGCTTCCATTGGAAAATCAAGTGCTACTCCATCAATTGGTATATCTACGGGGCAATTTTATGCATAAAGTGAATCGAGCTCTTTATCAAAAGTGTATCAAAATACTAGATTTTGTATATGAAATACTTGCACGTGTTTATGAAGATAACGAACAGTATTCAAGCTCAAAGCCCATTAATTTTAATCAATACACATTTGGAGCAGAGCAAACCCAGGCCTCTAACATATTAGAAGCGGATCAGCTGGTGCCACGCAGAAATAAAAATCCCCTGCCGAACAGCCACATCCGTCCTGTGCTACTTGTCATGATTAGGAAATAACTGGAAAAATTGTAGAAAATTCAATATTTTAGAAAATGACTTGACGATTAATATAATAAACGTCAATCAGAAATTGACGTAATGAATATTTTGTCAAGGTTAAATTAATTCTCTATTCATCTTTGTTGTTGATATCGAATTGAATGCGTTGATAATTATTCCAATTACATGTATATTTTAAGTCTATAAAGATATTGAAGCATCCTTACACCTCTTATTCCTATTGAAATCTATGTTTTTTATTCCCTTTATTCTAGGTGCTAACTTGTGCGATCTAACGAAGGGTACGTTGTTTTTTTGTTTTGTTTTGTTTGGTTTTTTTTTTTTTTGGTTGTTTTTTGTTTGCTTGTTTGTTTTTTTTTTCTTTTTTTTCTAGTTTCTTAGTTTTTTAGCTCTACTGGTCAGAGACCAGAAGCGCTTATGCGATAGTAAGGTGTCCTGTCGTCCGTCCGTGTGTCTGTAAACAATTTTTCAAAACGCTACTCCTACAGTTTTGATCTGATTTCAATATAACTTGGCACACAAGTAGACTACACTAAGATACATAACATAGTGCATCGATTTTTGATTTCCATGAACGGTGTTGCCATGGTAACTAAAAGTAGAAATTTCTGTGAAATTCCTTTAAAATGCCACTCCTACAGTTTTGGTCTAATTTCAATAAAGCTTGGCGCACAAGTAGACTACACTTAGATACATAAAATGGTGCATCGGTTTTTGATTTCTATGAACGGTGTTGCCATGGTTACCAAAAATAGAATTTTCTTTGAAATTCCTTTAAAATGCTACTCCTCCTACAGATTTGATCTGATTTCAGTATTACTTGGCACACAAGTAGACTACATTAAGATACATAAAAAAGTGCATCGGTTTCTGATTTCGATTAATGGTGTTGCCATGGTTACTAAAATTAGAATTTTCTGTGAAATTTCTTTAAACACTACTCCTCCTACAGTTTTGGTCTGATTTCAATTTAACTTGGTACACAATTAGACTACACTTAGATACATGGAATAGTGCATCAGTTTTTGATTTCGATGAATAGTGTTGACTTTGTTACTAAAAATAGAATTGACTGTGATATAAACCAGTAGAGCTACAGTTTCGACAGAGACTTCTGGTTTGTTAGTTTGTTTGTTTGGTTTTTTTTTTTGCTGTTGGTTTTCAAAACATGTTATTTATCTACTCTGTTTTTTTTAATAAGAGTATCATTCTTCTAGTACACATTCACATTAAACATCGTTTACTTTTGTTATTATAATAATTATAAGTTTTTTTTTTATTTCTTAGATCCATGTCAGAATTCATCGTCGATGTATGAGGGATATTTGCGCTCTAAAAATTGTCCCTTTAATAAAACTCTTGGTTTGTGTGATAGATACTTAGATACCCAATGGTACAAAACAGAGGGAAATATGCTTAATTATTGCCCATCACTACATTCATGTGGAGCTGAGTATCCACTGTGGTTGAATGGTTTGTATCATTTAGCTTTATTTCTCTAATTTTTAGCTCTTCTGAGCTAAAGGCTTTACTTAAAGAGCTAATGCTATGGCTATTTGTGCGTTGTGTGTAAACTTTTTAGAATATGGACCATAACTCAAGATACCTTGGCCAATCATTATCAAATTTTTCACAGGGTATCCTTGGTCAAAGGGATCCCGTTTATACGAAAACGGGGTTGTGACCCTTAAACAAGTGGAAATAATAAGGAAAACAGAAAAAAAGTGGTTGCTAAAAATCTTCTGGTAAACTTCTTGGCAGATTATCACCAAACATACCCAAAAGTATGAGAACATGTTGTAGATTAACATTGCACGATAAAGGGCGTTGTCTTAAGGTCACTTCAAAGTTGACCAATAATTTTGATATTTTGCTTACTATAAAGACTAGGATCATCAAATCTTGTCAGGTGATAGATCTAAGGACCTCATATCATGTATACTCAGCTAACTTTTCAATTACTCGGCCATTCTTTTTCAAAATGATTTAGAGGCATCTTTTGAACAATTTAGGTCCATGATCATCGAACTTCGTCACCTAAAAAAGTAGGTCACCTTGACCTACTTTTTGAATTTTATGGCTACCTGTAATCTTTTTTTGCAAGACAATTAAGGCCGTTTATTCGAATTCTGATATGTTTAACATTATTGATTGATTGATTGATTGTATATTGTTTAAAGTCCCTCTCGAGAATCTTTCACTCATATGGAGACGTCACCGTATGCCGGTGAAGGGCTTCAAATTTTGACCTTTACTCGGCACTCAGGGCCATTGAGCAGTGAGGGATCTTTATCGTGCCAACGCCTGCCGCTGACACGGGGCCTCGGTTTTTAAGATCTCATCCGAAGGACCCGCAACTTTCACTTCAAAGTGCCGAGCGCATGGCGAAGGAACAGTTGCTACCCACTTTTACGACTAGGTCAGTCGCGGCCGAGATACGAACTCACGACCTCCCGATCACGGAGCGAGCGCTCTACCGACTGAGCTACCGTGAACGGTGTTTAACATTATTAAATCTTGCAAGATGATGCATCTTGAGGCCATGATGCATTTTGGGTCTTCAGAGTAAGTCGACTGAAAAGTACTTTTTACAAACCAATGCTTTAATTAAAAATTTCAAGTAAATATTGGCTTAGAATCATCAAACTTTGTAAGTTGATGCACTTACGTGTACAAATGAAAAATATGTCATCGCGCCCCACTTTTAAAAACTTATAGCTTATATTGTATGGCCTTAATTACATACATAAGGAACCTGTACTAATTGGTTTAGAATCATCAAACTTTGTCAGTTTACGCATCTTCGTCTTCAAAGTATGTCATCTGAAAAGTAGGTCTCTGTGACCTCTTTTGAAATTTTGTGGTTATAATTTAAAAAAAATTAGGTATTCTTATTAGGCTCGTCAAACTTAGTTGATGGATCTTCGGTCCTCATAAAAAGACAAGTAATAAGTAGGTCTTTATGTCCCACTGTCAGGTACTGATTGGCTTATAATCATCTTTGCTTCTCAGAATGTTTCATCTAAAATATAAGTTACCATGACCTACCTGAAGAATTCCAAAGCTTTATTTATTTAAATATTTAGGACACTTAGAGGCTTCAAATGGGAGAGATAAGTTGTACAATTTATCAGTAGAGCGATTCTAGTCTTCTGGGCTTCTTATTGTATAGATATTGCTCTATACAAACAACAATATATTCATAAATAACTAGTGCATTGTGCTTATCAATTTTTTCTGTCTTTTTGACCCTTATTGTTTTGCCCTTTGTCACTTACTTAAATTGCCCGTGTTATATAGATGCAAAAAATATTCTATTTGTAAGGTTTAAACATTCAATTTCTATTTGCATATTTCTTTGTTCAAAACTACATGTTTGCCCTCTGCCATAAAGTTTTAAGGGTTCTAAATAATTATTGCCAGTTGAACTATTTGAAAATCATTAAAATCACGGTTCATTTTTAAATACGTTTTTCATTGCAGTCAATGGAAATCGTTTTAAACTCTGTATATATACTGTATTCAAAGCAAAGCAAAACAAAGATATATCCTTCATTCAAGGGTCAAGTTAAAGTTAAACCATGTTTTATCTTTTCTCCATAAAAAAATATTAACTGTTATGAAGATGGATATCAAACGTACTGTACTTCATTTGACACAGAATAAACAGTCGAATATAACATTTTTTCTCAGCTATAACTCAGGCAGAAAAATCGTTTTAAAGAAATGGGGTTCATAAAAAAAAATAACGTACCTGTACAATCTGTGTCCAGAACCGAAATTCCTATTTCGGGGAATGGGATGGAGCGTGCAGGCTTCCAATTATATTTACATAAATTGGTAGGGACTGGCAATACTGATTAACGTACGCGTGCCTGTATGTTTAACCCATGTGAAAATATACATTTGAAATATTTTTCGTAAATTGTGTTTTAAAAATGTTTATATTAAGCAGTATTTGTAAAAAAAAATTACGTTTTTCTAAACCGTCACAGCAGCTTGTAATTATACTTTGACAGCAGCCGAGAAGTTTTAAAGCGCCATCTTAAATTAGTCTGGCCCTGAATGATTTCTAAAGACTTTTTGTAATTTTATTTGGGTAGGGGGACTGAGGAGAAAATGAGCCATTGGTACACAGATTTAAGTGTAAGAAATAAGCTCAGATACAAGCAATTACAAAACAACTTAACTAAAGAAGCAGCATGAATATCATGTTTGCACATAAACTAGTATGATTATTACAAGAGAAGGAAATATAAAGCACAGTACAAATTAAACATTGTACATGTACTTTAATAAGCACTAATCATGCTGATGCAACAAAAAATGATAAAAGTAATTCAATAATAATTGACATATATGACTATTACAATTAAGGACAGTAATAAAACACATTACAGTGCAAAACATTCTCTAGCATTGACAGAAAAGAAAAAAAATGAACAACAAGGAAAGCAACATAGCAAGTAAACATATGCTTTTCACACATATGGACATTCACAGAACAAAACCACCGTATACAACGGGTAACGCGGGGGAGTCGCTAAAAAGTAAGGGGGAGTCGTTTTCAACATGTGGGGGAGTCGATTTTCACCGCTTCGGAGTCAGAAGAGATGTGGGTCACGTCTTTTTTCGGTATATGTAAGATTTATTTACAAAAAACTACTAGCCCACGCAAGGTAGCAATAGTTAAGCTTTCTGTTGGTCATTTGTCTGGCTAGCATGTACGTCTAGTTTTCTCAAACACTTCGAAACTATTCGACAGATTTCATATTTACGTTGATCGAGTGGATAAAACATGCATAGTTTGCACAATCTACGACTTGTGTAGGGATTATGACCGTTAAAACAGCGAAGCATATGTAGCAATCAGTCAGTGTATATGTCCTTAGTACCTAAGAACTTAGTATTTGAAATTAAAGAAAAACAGGAAAATATTTTATTTGGTTTCTTTCCGTCTGTCTGTGCAAACGTGTCCGGTCCATATCTTTTTTATGAAGGAATATAGAATCAACTATCCCACGAAAAGATTGTACATGAACTAAGGGTGTGTCATGACCTTGAAGAAAAGGTCATTTGAGGAAGTTCAAGGTCACTGGAAGAAAAAATTCATAATTCGTGTCCGATCCATATCTTTCTTACGGAAAAACTTGATAGGTTCTAATTTCACACAAAGATTGCATATAACCTAAGGGTATGTATTGACTTTAAAGCAAGGTCATTTAGGGAAGTTCAAGGTCACGGGAAGAAAAATTTCATAAATTTGTGTCTGGTCCATATCTTTCTAATTGATAAACTTGGTAGGTTGTAATTTCAAACAAAGATTGCTCATAACCTACGAGTATGTCATGGCCTTAAATCAAGGTCCTTTGGTGAATCTCAAGGTCAAAAAATTTCATAATAAGTGTCCGGTCCATATCTTTCTTATGGATAAACTTGGTAGGTTCAAGTTTCACACAAAGATTGCTCGTAACCTATAGGTGTGTCATGATCTTGAACCAAGGTCATTCAGGGAAGTTAAAGGTCACTGGAAGAAAAATCTCATAAATAGTGTCCGGACCATGTCTTTCTTATGGATAAACTTGGTAGATTCTAATTTCACACAAGATTGCTCATAACCTTAGGGTGTGCCATGGCCTTGACCCAAGGTTATTTGGGGAAGTTCAAGGTCAATTGAAGAAAAATATCATAATTTTTGTCCAGACCATATCTTTCTTATGGATAAACTTGGTAGGTTCTTATTTCACACAAAGATTCCCCTGGCTGTGGCATGACCTTGAGCCAAGGTCATTTGGGGAAGTTCAAGGTCCATGGAAGAAAAATTTCATAATATGGGTCCGGTTAATATCTTTCTTATGGATAAACTTGGTAGGTTCTTATTTCACACAAATATTTCTCCTGACCTAAGGGTGTTTCATGACCTTGAACCAAGGTCATTTGGGGAAGTTCAAGGTCAATTCAAGAAAAATTTGATAATTCGTGTCTGGTCCATATCTTTCTTTTGGATAGTTTTGGTAAGTTCTCATTTCACAGAAAGACTGTTCATGACCCAAGGATGTGTCTTGACCTTTGGTCACGGTCATGAGGGGAAGTTCAAGGTCATTGGAAGAAAACTTTTGAACTTTGTGTCCGCTCCATATCTTTCTTTATGGAAAAATTATGGAAAAATTTGAATCTACTACTTCACACCAAACAAAGCTTCTGACATGAGGTTGTGTCATGACTTTGAATCAAGGTCATTTATGCAGGTTCAAGGTCACTGACAGAAAAAGTTCATAATTCGTATCTGGTCCGTATATTTAGTCTATTTTTTTTATTAGGCTGCGCCTTCGTTTCATTTATAAAAAATATAATGAGCAATTACATTTGCACTTAAAAGGCTATAGCATTTCTCTCTTTTCTTAGATCCAGAACATATTCACGATTTAGCACTTCTGAAAAACCCAGCGGGGTGTATTTTGTC